CCGGGCCTCCGCTGCACCGGCCTTCGGCGGTCACACACCCTCCTCTGCTGGCCGACGCGGGCCCTGCAGCCCAGCAGAAACCTCCGGCGATGCTCGGGCGGGGGAATTAGTTGGGTTTTGCAGTAGGTGGCATCGCTCGGAGGGGACGGTGCAAGGAGGGGGAAGCTCCCTGCAGCTGCAGTGTCCCACCTGGTTAGACCTTTTCTCTTTCCTAGACCGGGAAAAATAGTAACAAACTAATTATTGAATAAAATTTACTAACCTAACAGTTTTGTGTGCCCTGTTTTGTTGATATTTCTCGTTTGTTTCTTTTATTTTTTTAAATCCTCTCTCCATGACTAAATGCTGCTGTAAATGTCTTGCCTTTCACAGGAAAGTTGAATCCTTGCACTAATCCTTCATTATTTCATCTAAGGAATGGGGTTTAGCCCAGTTTTTTATTAGCTTGATGACCAAATTAAACACAACCTTTCCCACCAAGTTGGGAAAGCTTTGTTTGGCATACAGTTTCTTACACAAACATAACTAGAAGATGCCTTCCAGACACACAGAGCCACTGCATCACCACCCGCAGCCACAAGCTTGGCCCCCAGGAGCGGTGCACACTGAATGCAAAACCAAAGCACAAGCCTGGAGCAAGCTCTGCACCATCTCCCTGACCCTGGCAGCAGCACCTGAGCTGGAGCATTTACATCCAACATGGTTCTGGCCGTTTGAGCACTGTTACCCGTTCTGAGACAAAGTAATGCAAACCCTCCCCAAACTCTTCCCCCTGAAGCACTCTCCAGGGTCAGTCTGCTCCTCACTTTCTAACAGAAATGAGGAACCAGCATTGCTCTTCTCCTTATCCCGACGCCTACACAGACCACTGCCCACAGAGCGGGTTTTGCCCCTTAAACTTTCTCTTGCAGCAAATGCTTTGCAAACCCTTTTGCCATATGCGCAGGCAGATGCTGAGCAGCGCGACACGCAGCACTTGTGAAAGCTGAAGATCTTTGTTATTCACCCGCTTGGCTCTTTTACTGCCTTTTGCAATCGGTGGATTCCTCAAGACAACAGCACAATGTTTTCGGTGTAAGAGCCACCCAATAGAAAGTCAGTATTACACCAATGGGATATCATGTAGGATATGCCAGAAGCACTGATAAGGGTCTAAAACCCCAAACTGTGCCAGCCTGGCTCTTGTTAGATAAACATGTACCACTGGGATATTGCTGATCAATCAATCCTTGCAGCAGCCAGCGAGGAAGGGAAGCACTGCCTCCGTTTCAGACGTGGAACAGAGAGAGAAGGATGTCCATCCCATGGAGGTGTGTGCTGAAGGGACACGGGTGTCCCAGCCCCAAAGGAACACCACACCCACCGCTCTATGGAGCTGGATCCGTCCCAGTGCCTTCCCTGTAATGCTCTCAAAACACACACCTGAAACTCCCGGCAGGACACGGGTGCAGAGGGACAGCCTAAAGTCCATAGCCAGGCTCTCCACTGGGTTAATGTTTGCTAAATCACAGGAAGTGCAACAAAAAGGTCCAACGGATACCAGCGAACTCGCGCGAGATAAGGACCAGTTCACGACTGCCATCTCTCCCAGCCCCGTTTGCAACCTCCTGACGTGTCCTCCCCGTGGCCAGGGCCGCTGAGCTTGTCTTGCTCCTCCTGGACCTTTGCAGAGGGATGGGTCTGCTTCTGAAGATTTTCATCCCCTTGCTGGGGCTGGTGCTGGCCTTTTATTTTTATTCAGCACCAGAGAATTTCAATGAAGGTAAGTCATTAAAAAAAATGCTTTAAACCTGCAATCATGGAGGCTGCTGCCAGCGTGGCAGTGCATGCCCGCACAGAAGAGCAGGGGCCATTGAAGGGCTTTTCAAAGTGCCACGGGAACAGACAAAGCACAGGAGGGCCAGGAGCTCGGAGGGGAGCACAGGCAGGTGCTGGTGCAAGGGGTCAGAGCACCCTGCGCTGCACAGGGAAGCTGCTGGGATTCCACTGGGTCTGCTGGGACACACGGCAACCGTCTGATCTCAGTACATTATTTATTTAGGAAACATGCAGGTTTCTACTTTAAACATTTAATCCTTTTATTAGTCAACTCTTGCCATTTCCAAAAGCTGCTCCCAGAGCAGGCTGGATGCAGAACGCCAGCCTCGCATGCACTCCCTGCCAAGCCAGGATTAACAGCCAGGCTCCGGTCAGGGTCTGCAGGAGCAGTGCACGCTGCAGCGGAGCAATGCCACTGCCTGCAGCTCCCTGCACCCAAAGGCGAGGGGCAGCGGGGACAGAGAGCAGCCGCAGCACCCACGAGCAGGGGAATGGCATGGGCTGCACCAGCTCTGAGCTCTGCACCCTCCTCTGCAGAGATGCTCCGGGGGAAACGGGTGATCGTGACGGGAGCCAGCAGCGGCATCGGGGAGCAGATGGCGTATCACCTGGCACGCATGGAGGCCCACCTCCTGCTCACGGCGCGGACGGAGGCCAAGCTGCAGAAAGTAAATGGCGAGCAGAGTGAGCCAGGCTGGCAAAACGCATTTGCAATCCAGAACCCCACAGTGCAGATATTCCCCAGCACGAGCCTGTTCTAACACACGCACCCCCCCACCGCAACAAACTGCACGTCAATGCTGACAGCATGGCATTTCTTTCTCCACAGCCTCCAGCTGGGAATTCTGATCACCACCACCAAGGACAGCACTAGCCTGCCCAAGTCCTGGTCTGATCAAACCTCACCCTTTCTTAAAGCCTGAACTGGTTTTGCATCCTGTGTCCAACAGAATCAAAATTAAGCGATCGCATCCCTATTTATAAACACTAAATATTTGGCTCAGACGTGCCAGTCTAACTCTGTAGCCAGAAACCTTTTGCTGAGCAATGCATCTCCTCCCACCAAGGGAGAAGGGTCTCCAACGGGACAGGGAGATGCACTGCCCACCTGCCACCTTTGTGGGACGGGGCACTACATGGAGGGGGTCCATTCCCAACACCGCTCTCGCTGTCGCGCAGGTTGTGGAGCGATGCCTGGAGCTGGGGGCTGCATCCGCCCGCTACGTGAGCGGCTCCATGGAGGACACGGCGCTCCCCGAGGTGGTGGTGAGGGAGGCTGAGAACACCTGGGGTAGGTGATGACAAGCTGCCCTTCCCCACTCCCCAGCACACCTCGCGCTACATTTGGGGCCGTGCCAGCCGACAAGAACCTGCTTCGTGTTGAGGTGCTGGTCACTAACAGCAAACACGCTCTGCTTGCAGGAGGCCTCGACATGCTCATCCTAAACCACATCGGTCACTCACACTTCAACTACTTCAACGGGGATGTCGAGCACGTACGAAAGCTCCTGGAGACCAACTTCCTCAGCTACGTGGCGATGACGGTGTCTGCCCTGCCCATGCTGAAGGAGAGCGAGGGCAGCATCGTGGTGGTTTCCTCCATGGCAGGTGAGCATGCAAGGGTTCTCCCTCCCGTGTCCCTTCCTCCTCCCTGCTGCAGCTCTTCTTCAAAAGCCAGAATAAGGACCATGAGGCAGAGAGCCACCCCGCTGGGAGTCAGCATCAGCATGTGATTTGTATCCTGGATGCACAGTCCAAGTCCTCTGGGGGATTTACATTCTGTGCCCTGTCCTGCCAGTCTCTTTGCACCCACTGATCACCTTCACGCCTTGCAGCTGACAGTACACTGCTGCAGGTGATTTTACGTGCATGGCCACATACGATACGTGCATGGCAGCATATGACACGTCCATTTGCTGTACATGGCTATATACGCAGGAACACAAGAACAGCATCACCCACAACTGAAGGTACTTCATGCCACATGCTACATTTTAAACACTCCTCCATTTATTTCTCTCAAGCTTTCACAACAGCTTACTCCATCACCCTAAATCACAATATTGTAAGGCAAGTCACGCAGCCTGGTGTCTGCCCAGCACACGAACCCTGACCTTGTGTCTCTGCTCCAGGTAAAACGGGCACCCCATTTGTTGCTCCCTATTCTGCAACTAAGTTCGCCTTAGACGGATTTTTCAGCTCCTTGCGACATGAATTCATCATAGACAAGGTCAACGTCTCCATCACGCTCTGCATCCTGGGCTACATCAACACAGGTAAGCTCAGCACCCCTGAGGTTCAGGACCCCTGGGGCCCCATGACTCGGTGCGTTTCCAGACAGAGCCAAGCTGAGCCCATCACCCGCCCCCAGGTCTCGGGCTGCTTCACCACCACTGACAGACCCTCAGCCCACAGCAGCTGTGCAGTTGTAGGAACCAGTCCTCAGCTCTTTAAAAAGTGTGGCCTGAGACTTTTGACACTGCTGTCCCTGCAGTAAGCCCAGGGAAGTTGGCGATTCTGTCCTATAGTCACTCAAGACATAGAATGGATTGGGAAAGACATTGCTATAACTGTTATTTATTTATTTTAACTATTCTAAGCCTTGTTAGACAGGTCTGATCCCCAGCGTTTGTCCATTTGTCAGAGGAAGGCAGACGCCCCACTGAGCCGGCGGTGCCTGTGGCAGCCCCTCTGCCCAACACTGCTCCTTCCCTCCCTGTCCTCCTGTCCCTCCAGAAAGCGCCATCCGCATGGTCTCGCACGCCATCCGGGGCACGCCGGCTCCCAAGGAGGAGTGTGCGCTGGAGATCATCAAGAGTGGGGCGCTGCGCCAGCGGGAGCTGCACTACCCACCAGGGATGGTGGGCAGCACGCTTCTCCTCCAGGTCATAGCCCCCGACTTCCTCGACTCCCTCATCAGGAGCAACTATAAACCAGAAAACATCAAAAGAACATAGCCCCCCAGGGCAGCGAGCATGCCGGGACACCTTGGGCCAGGCACAGGGGGTTTGGGTGTTAATCCAGCTGCTCAGGTGCCCTTTTCCACCCCACTGGAGCGGCCCCATGCTGATGCACTCTGGAAACCCAAGATGGGATTGTCATGGTTTGACCCACCCGGCAGCAAATACCATGCAGCCGCTCACTCACCCTCCCCATGCCTGGGGATGGGGGAGAGAATTAAAAGGGTAAAAGGAAAAGAGACTCGTGGGTTAAGAACAATTTAATAACTAAACTACAATAAAGTTGAAAATAATAATGATAATAACAATATACAAATAAGTGATACATGGTGCTACTGCTTACCACTCGATGACCAAGGCCCAGCCTGCTCCCAGCTAACAGTCCTGGCACAGATAAAGTCCCAAAACTGCAATCCCAGAAAAGATAAGAACCCGAGAACTGACTGGGAGCGAGCACCAACCAAGAACATTCGCAACTGGCTTTTTCTGACCAAGAGGCACTTCAGAGAAGCTCCTGGCAGCAGGACCTGCTGCCCACATCTTGCTCACCAGCAGCTTTCCTGCTCAACCTCCAGACACTGTTCCCCTACCAAAAGCCCCAGAGCCTGTGGTTCTGAGCGCTGTGGGAAGTGACCTGAGCCACAGTGAGGGTTTGGGCCGAGCAGCACAAACCACCCAAAGCCACGAGAGGGTCTTTGAACCAGGAGATTTTTTGTGTTCTATCTCTTCTAGGTTGGTCTTTGTAAAAATAAATCCTGTGATACTTTACAAGATGTGTGCTTTTCTCGTGTTCCTTTTCCACGTGCACAGGCACCAGCCCCGGGTTAAACCGACCTCCCTGCACGATTTGCGTTAACGCAGCTTTCACTTCTCCAAAGACCTTAATGAATTTCTGCCATTTGTGACCTCTCCTCAGCCACCCATACCCACTTCTTTTTTTCCTTTCCAATCTACAAGACACCTTAAAATAACAGCATCACTGTCCTTCCCCAGCTCTGGATTTCTCCACCCAAAGCAGCTTGGGGAGACTTGGTCACCAAGCGCCACAAGCAGCTCCGTGACCCAGCACTCAACCTCCGTGTGTCGGAGACTGATAAAGGGAGATGGCCCAAAAGATAATCCCTGTCTCTGCTTGGGGAGAAGCAGGAGACTCTGGGCTCCCAAGATAACCCAAATCCCGCCGCACGCCGGGCCCCTGCACCCCGCGGCCAGGCTGCGAGCAGAGACAGGAACCGGGGCTCGGCTGCGGGCGCCGCGTTTCCTGTTTTACGGAGCAAGAGCAGCAAAATGAGGCGGTTTGCATGAAGATGGCAGTTGGAGCGTGTTGGTGCCCGATAACCCCCAGCTCGCCCCACTCTTCTGTGGTGGTCGAGGGGTAGGACAGGACCCCTTGGGCCAGGTAAGTGCCCATGGGGCTGGGGCCAGCAAGGGATGGAGGGGAGTGGAGGCTGCTGCGCTAACGGCAGCGGCATGCACCTTTTTTCCTCTTTTTTCACCCCGCTTTCAGCCTACATGCTTGACACTGGGAGGCTGTAACATGAACCAGCAAGATGCACTTTTGTTTTTGTTTCCCTTGAAGTGAGACGCGTAACAGTTTGGAAAGCAAGGGTAAAGGACACGTTTGTTAATTAGAGAGGGTAATTTAGGGTAACAGGAGGAGGAAACGGAGAATTAGCTTGTCAAGAAGGCCTCAGCAGGTTGCTCAGCTTGCAGTGAGTAATGGACTGTGTATTTCCCTAAGCTTTACCTCGCTTTAAAGCGTGTTTTTGGGTAACTGAGGCTGATACAAGAGCCTCTGTGGGGATGCTGTGACAGGCTGGGCACTGCAGGTGGGAGAGGGGCTGAGCTGCTCCTGACGGGAAGAACGGGATGAGCAGGGACCGAGCAGGACATCCAGACTGAACGTGCAATTGGGCCATTTCTAAAACTAAGAATACTTAGTTGAAAAATGCTTTTAAAGCATCCTGAGGAGCTTGGAGCGGCTTGGCTGTAGACATACACTTGGTCCCCAGTGATGGAGTTCATGCCCAGCTCCAAGGGAGCACACTGCAGGTGCTGGCATATGCCCAACCTGCATGTCTCTGTGTGAAGCCGCTGGGCAGACCTTGCCGTGCCTGCTGGCCAAGGAAAGTGTGTGTGCACTGAGAGGAAGGGCCCTGGGCAAGCAGTGTGATGGTCACGGCACGGATGTGAAAGCTGCTCAGCCTTCCAAACCCCCAGGCTCCTCCAGCTGTAAGTGTATCACAACAAGAAACACCTGAATAGTGAAATACTGGTGGGATCTTCCAGTAAATTTAAGTTGAAATTAGAGATGCTTCAGAAGCTATTCAGAAAAGAGAATATTCAAGTAAAGTCAATAAAAGCACACAGGGGAGCACTGCCTAGTCTTTCAGCAAGTGCCACACTTCAGGGCTCTCAAAACCCACATAGCAGCATGCACAAAAGATTCCCTTTGAATAACAGAGGGATTTATTTTATCAGGAAAGGCATTCTCCCAGAGGAAGCAGCAGAAGCATCATTACTTGGCAGCAAGGCCAACTTCATGAGGTTGCATTAATTATTTGAAATTCTCTTCCAAGCATCCCCTGTCTCAGCACCACCCGGCAGAGAAGCAAGAGCAGCGTCGTG